AAAACACTGATGTGCAGCCTTGTAAAAGACGCTGCGAATCAGTACAAGTTTTATAAGATACACTGAAGCACTGCCTCTAGAGAGTATCTATCATTCGTCATTCTATAAACTTGATTTTGCTTCTTTTTGTTCACGGTCTGCACATTTCTGCCAACAATTATGCATATTTACAAATGTTAATTGCCAGCGGGCGCGCACACACACACAATATTGTGTTGTACACGTATTTACGACACGGCCAACAGCCACGCCCCCTGCTCTCGCTCTTGCCCTCGCCCACGCCCAGGCCTGCCAATTAACAACATTATCGACTGTGACCCGACCAACGACTCTCGAAGCCAAACCAAGCAACCACTTTGAAATGCTAATGAAATTGGCTTTTAAAGTGAGTCGGGGCTGGGGGGAAAATGTGTAAAATAAAAGAAAAATGTGAATTCAGCGTTTGATTTCGATCAAAAGTCCTTGTCAAGACTCGTCCTGCGCGGTTGCCTAATTGATAAATTGATTAAATTGCATGGCTTAATTGCATGGCAATCGCATTGTCTTTCCTCACAATGCGAAGCGAGCCACACACACGACAACGAGCAGGAGCAAGAGCAGGAGTAGGAACAGCAACAGCAGGAGGAGCAGCAGCAACAGCAGCAGCAGGAGCCGGCTGCAAATGAATTTTCACATTTCATTTTCGAGACTCCACTTTGGCTTTGGCGCGCCGCTGGCAAATTGCATTTGCTTTGTTCGCCTTCATTTTGGTCAACTGTTTCGTTAATGCGACTTATTTGTCAGCATTTCAAGTGTCGCTCGCATCAGCTCCTGAAAGCTCGGCATCTGCCCCGCAGTGATCCGTTTTGGATTGAGTTTGCTTTTGTGTCTGGACAGCGCTCAATTTTCCCCTCTGTCAGTTTTAGCGAAGCGCCTGCGGATGAGCTACTGATTTGGCTATTGTCTACTTTAGTTACAGTTGAGCGGCAAACACGTACGTTAACTGTAAACATGTGCGATAAAAGTTGAGAGACGTAAAGTGAAGGGAAAGAGGAGAGTCAAGTCTAAAGTTAACTATGCATGTAGTTTCTATGACCCTTAGATGATATTTAAGAAGAACAAGCTCATTTGATATTGGGATATAATCAGTGAAATTCTTATCCAAGATAGAGAGTGAACTAAATTTGCATGCCATTCTGCTTAATTTAAACCGGAGTCAACCAATTTTAAAGCACATCGTATAATACTCTCCAGAGAGTGATATAGTAAACATAGATTTACATTTATTTAATCAATTTGTTGAATTTCTAGAAAGTGATACAAAGAAGGCTCGACTTTTTATACAACACAACACAGCCACCTTCACGTTTACGAATGTCGCACAAAGCGGAAACAATAAATGTTACGCCCTCGAGAGAGTAAATATAGGATAATAATTAGCATATGCTAGTAAATCGCTTAACTACACTCACTAAACACCCTCTAATCACAGCAACCCTATCAGTAAGCCTTCAATAAATAGCTAAAGACCCTCCTAAACACAACATCTAGTCAACCCCCATAGATATCCGTACAATCTATGCATTACTCACTTTTATGGTGCGCATTTTGCATTATCTGTGTAAGTGCCGTCCGGCTTATGTCCGCTCAGCACACTCACTTTCTCTAAACTCAGTCTTTTCGTTAACTAAGCGTTAAGTCCGAGCGAATCCCGTACAATAAAAAGCCTGAGCCCGGCGACTAAAGCGCATTAAAAATGCCGACTGGCTGTGTAACCGAAGCGCTCTCAGAGGAATAGGAGTTGGAATTGGAACTGGATTAAAGTTGGAGTCAGGGAGAAATAGCGCTGGTCAGTGTCCAGTAATAGAGCTCGCTTCGTTTCCCTTTTCCGATTGTTTTCTCTGCTTCATCTTTTTCTCTCTTTTTTTTTTGCCATTACGTTGATGCGGTTTTGCTTTGATTTAATTTTGCTTTTACTGCTGCTGGTTGTTTGTCATTGTTCGCAGTTCGTATTCCCTTCCGCCCAGCCCATTGTCTGCACCCAATTTGTGAGCTTTGTTCAATTGGCTTTGGGTGCTACCACAGTCCTCTCTCTCTCTCTCTCTCTGTGTATGTGTGTGTGTGTGCCGTGCTTTACACTCGACTCTGTGCAGCTCAACTGTCATTCATTCGTCAGCAAAATAAATCACCAAACGGAGCGACAAGCCCTTTAAAAATTTAGCTCCTCCAGGGCCAGAAAATTTGCCGATGCCTGAAAGTAGGCAACGATAATTTAAAGCCCTGAAATCTAGTTGAATATTCAATTGGCTTAGTTTTTCGCGTAGTTGATTTGAATAGTTTATGGTTGGAAGTGGAGCATTTGGGCAGGGGCTTATAAAGTTGGAAAGTTATAATGTTGCCCTGCCATAGGCACTGCACTTGATGTGTGGTATAAAGAGATGAAGGTTTGGAATGGAAGAGAGAGGAGAGCGGGAGATTAAGAGATTTGTAATGTAAAATAGAGAGTACATGGATATGAAATGTGGCATACCGAATACCGAAGAACGAATAAGGAATATGGAATCTGAGATATGGAGTATGGGAGAATGTGAGATAAGGAACATGAAATACGATATGTGAAAAATAGAATATGAATTCTGGAATATAGAGAACGAAATATGGACTATGGGAATATGGAATTTAGAATGTAAAATACTCTACATGAGATCTGGCATATGAAATATGGAACTTCGAGTATGGAAGAAATAATATGAAATGTTGAACATGAAATAATGTTTTAGAATGTTGAACATATATGTGAGATGTGAAGAATTTTTATTATGGAATATCATGAATGTTGAACATGGAGTTCTAGAAATAAATAATATGTAATATGTATAATATATTAATATAAAGTACATATTCCATAAAGTATAGGTCTTTAAGTATAGGTCTGACTGAATTTCTATTATAGTAAAGTGAATGCATTTGGCATTTAAGAAATTCATGTATCATGGCTCCTGCAAAGGCGCACTGCTCTTCTATTATCAAATAACGTTCAAGCAACCCTCGCAAACTACCGCCAATTTATCTGCTGAAGTGCTGCAGCTGGATAACATTTCACAATTCAGGCTGCCATTCAGATTCATAACCCAGCGATTTGTGTGTTGCTTGCCAAACTGGAACCCACACATTTCCACCAGAAACCCGCTCGTAATTCCATTAAACACACTCCCAAACCCAAACCACAACGCGCCACAGTTGGACAGGCACTGCAGCACGGCGGCAGCCGCACAATTGTGGTTTGACTATTGCATAAGAATGTTACGAGCATGAGCTGATGCTTGATGCCATTAACCCAGAGTTGGGTCTGCTATTTCGCTTCTGCTTCTTCTACTCCGATTTGTTGTTCCTTTTTTCAACTCTAGCCATGCGACTAGTTTATGCTGAACATATTTTATTGATTACATTTGCTGTTTGCCCAAGTTTGTGCAGACTCCGGCATACGCTGCGCTCTGTGTCTGCGTGTTCTTGCACAAGTTTATGAGATTTTTGTGCTAGGCAGAGACCCCCACAAAAATCCCCAAATCAGTGGAGCGGGAGTTGTTGTAGCCCACATTTAGGGGAATTGCATTGCTGTTCGTGTGCGTGTGTGTGTGTGTGTGTGTGTGTCTGCATGAGTTATGTAAGCAAATAAATTGCTTATTTGTAGCGACAATTTGCGGTAATTTTGTGATTTGTGTATTTGGCTTCAATCTGGAAATGCTGTGCTGACATCATCTGTGGCCTCTCTGTGGGGTTGTTTTCTAGCCGGGCTAACCACGCCCCGAAGACTTTATGGCTATTAATTAAACATATATGTGTGTATGTATGTATGTATATATATCTACTCTTCACCCACATCTAGTTCATATTTCATGACACATTCTCCCTTGACTCTAGCTCCCCCCACTCTCTCTCTCCTTTGGAATCACACTTTATTGACTGCCTGCCTGCCTGCCTACCTGTGCGCACACTAAACGTGTAATCCTTTTTTCAGCGCCTGCCATTTGCATATAGCATACGTGTAAGAGGCCACGCTGAGTGCCAGCTCTGATAGCCGCCCACTTGTATGCATATCGTTAGCAAATTGCAGGCTCAAAAATGCCAACCAAAAAAAAAAAGTGGAAAAACAGCCAAAGCTGGAGCGAAAACTTCAGGCAAAAGCCTCGTGTTTTTTTTTTTTTTCCTTGTGCACTGTAAGCTAATACCCAGCCAATTTCCGTTAGCTGGTGCTCCCTTACAGCGGCTGGCAGGTAACGTGGCCAGCGCTTCTGGTGTCCTTTTTTTGGCCCTGTGGCGCAATTCGTGCCTTTTGTATTTCCGTTTTGGAAATTAGAAGGCGCGCCCCGCGTTAAAGTTCTCTGTACAAATTTGTATAAAAGCTTAGCTACATTTGCTCTCTCTCCCTCTCCCTCCCCCTCTCTCTCTCTCTCTCTCTTTTATTTTTCCGCTTAACTCATTTGCATATTCGACACATTCCAAATTGACTTCCCCCCGGCGCGTTTCAATGGCCGCCTTTGGGGAATTTAAGCCTTTTTAGGCTGGCATTTTATGAAAATAATTTTAAAATTGACATTAACTTTGGCAGGCCTGGCAGCCTGACTGGGTCCGGCTCTGTTCTGGGCGAGGTGTCCAAAAATGAAGCCATTAGCAGTCAAAGCCACTGCCGCACACAAACCCCATCACAGCAAAAGGCGTTGATTGGGCAGCAAAGCCCCAAAAACTAGAAGCGCCCCACACTCAATTACCCAAACTAGCTGACAAAATGTGTTCCAGCTCGCACAAAGTGAATAGGAATAGTCGTCCTGAAAATAATTTGATTGGGTTGGTTGGGTGCCAGTGGATGGGGGGAAAGGGAAGTTTTGAGTGCTTTTCATAAATTGATTTTGCATAAAAGCCAATTAGCATAAGTCATAATACAATTCTGTAATCGAGAATTTACACAATATTTATATTTATATTTATATTTATGTATGTTTTTCCGTGTTTTCCATTTGCAGCTATTTCCCGCGAGGATGGCGACGATTCGACACATCATCATCATCATCATAATCATCATCGCGGCGGCGGCGCCCATCATAATCACGGTAATAAAGTTCCATTCAATGGCTACAACTCGGAGGAGTATCTGGATCGCCTCGAGCCCAATGGCAATATACCCGCTGACAAAACAAATTGCAGATATGGCGGTAAGTTAGATAGATTGAGTTGATTATTAGCACTTTATATATCATAATATATCATTATATAAATATTATATATATCATGACTAGTATTAGGAGAAAGTTGTTCAAGGCTTTTTAGTTAATTTCATCATGAACTCATAATTGAATGCTATATATTGTTATTCAATATAGAATATTTATTTTTTATATTAACCTTAAGAACAAATTTCAATATAATAGAAAGAGATTATACTTCTATGAAACAAAAAAAATAGTTTCTCAGCAAATATTTGTTCAATTAGATTGAACTATTTGGAATCAATTATTTTTCTTACCATATAGTCATAAGATATCTTTGATATAAGTATATTTGCCAGCAAAAAACTAATGATAAATATATGCTACATTATATGGTATACATATACCATAATACCATAAAATAAACGAAAAGCTTCAGAATGTACAGAGATTGGGGCGCTTCACTCATCATAATATACATAGATAGATAGATTGTAATAGGTATATAATGACATAACACCGCTTCATATATTTTAATATAGCTTTACCTTATATTTCTTTTTATTGAAATTTGCAAGTTTTTCAATATTTTGAAGTTGATTTCAATGTAACTTAATAATATATATATAATATCTGTACATAGATAGATTAATATATTTAGTATTGTAATCTAAAAGTATAAACAGTTATAAACTCACACCAAACGCAGCTTCAACTCTCAGACCAACTCTCTCTTCACTTCACATCATTCCCTATCAAAAAAAACACATTGCCTACATTTCAGCGCTCGGCTGGCGAAAATCATTTGTTCATATAATTTTTTCACAGTTGCGCTTTAGACAACTTTAAGCGAGTTCATTCATAAAGATTTGCACAATTTATTGCCTCACTTTCGCAATAATCTCTCATTTAAGTAGACTTGGCATAGCTCCCTCCCCTCCCCCACCCACACACACACACACACAAAACTAATTTAATGATACGAGAAGCATTTGTAAGCGCTTTGACGCTCCCCACTGACTGACTGCCGTAATTTATGCCTTGGCTCTAACTAATATCGGGCCGCGTGTCTAATTATGGCCAAGAACATTTCCCCAGTGGCATAGATAAACCATTCCAGTCAAGCATTTCACGCGCTCAATTTATTCGCCACGTTGCATACATTTCTTCTGCTACTGCTTCTGCTTCTTCTTTTGCTTCTGCTTCTGCTTCTTCTTTAGCGTAATTTATCAAATGTTTGTGTCATTTAGCAACGTTTTCACATTTTTTTTTTGCTGCTGTATTTTCGTTTCATATATTTTATCTGTAATTTTCGTCATTTAAAGACGTGCTTAAATTGTTTATCATATCATAACTTGGCTGTTAATGCGCTTGAATTCCAATGTGATGCACATTAAGCTGCCTCTGTTTACCTCTCTCTCCCTTTTGCTCCCTCTCTCTCTCTCTCTCTCTCTCTCTCTCGCTGTCTTGCCTTCAGTCTCTCGGCATTCTGTTGCTCCTTCATTTTATTGTCATAATTGTAAATTGCAATTTTATGCAAACAATGGCAAAATGAAGGCACAATCTCAAGTCCTGCCGGAGCCGGCACCCCCTTTGGGGTTCATGAGTCCTTGCGACTTCAAGCTGGTTGACATTGCCGATAAGGCGACTGATGATGAGCCGTAGCACAAGGACTTGCTGCTGCTGGCGCTTGTACTTGAAGCTGTTGCTCTTGTTATTGTCCTTGTAAAGCGGGGCACTCAACTCGCAGGCCATCCTACTCTAGCGCTCTCTCTCTCTCTTTCCACTTTTTCTTTGTCTCTGTCTACGTCTAGGCATTACGGAATCGGCTCATAAAGCAACGGAAATGAAAATATTAACAAGCAAATGCACAGCAGCAGCAGCAGCAACAGCAACAGCAGCAGCAGCAGCAGCAGCAACAACATCTGCAACAACAATGGGAATTATTCATAGTTAAATGGAAACTGTGTTGCATGCCTCATATAGTAGCTATCTGTAGCCCATTGTTTCTCTCTAGTAGAGAGAGAGAGAGGGAGAGCTCTCTCTCTACTTCTCTCCCCTCTTGCTGGAGCTGGCTCTACACATATTGCCCAGGTCCTGGACTGGCTGACACCTTAGCCAAGTTTAATGCACCGACGCTATATCACTTTTGGCTTTGGTCCACTGCTACGCGACGCTAGGTGGCGCTAGCTGCCATGTTTGCTTATTGCATTTGGCGAGGTGCACTGCAAGGATTACGTGTGCTGCTGCTTCTTTCCTGACACAGCAACTTTGGCCTGATATGAAAAGTGTGAAAGGTTGTGGCTAAAAAACCAAAAACAAAAAAACAAAAAACTTTTGCTGCATGCAAATATCAGTCGTGCTGCACGTCGCTTCAAAGCTTTTGACTTGTTTTTCGAGATACTTTAAACTTGTGAAACTTCAGTCGGTATTATAAGCTTTTAAATGTTGAAGAGTGTTAAATATATCAGTTTTTATTTGTTTAGGAGATATGATATCATTGTTATGCGGAGCTCTTCATATTGAAAGTTTGACTAAGCCAAAGTTTTCTCTTGAAATTTCAGAAATCAACTCTCAATTGTTTCGCATTGTCTCTGTGTTGCCCAAAAAAAAGTTGTTCATATTAATTACACGAGTTTTATTAGGCATTCGAATGTTCTTTAAAATATAGAGACTCTATAGTATATCCTCTTATGCAACCTTTCAATCTCTTCATTTCTATATTAAGCTGAAATTTATTAGAAACATTCAATTCAAGCCCAGCTAAATTCTTGTTTAATATTTCAATTGGCGCCATAAATTTGTATTATATTAAAGTTGCAGGCTTACTTTCAAGCTTTAGCTCTTTACAACACTTTAAAATAATGTTACATGTTACATATATATCATTTGTACTATCTCTATCGTTCACCCTTGATTAATAGTTTTTCTTTCCTTCATTCATAGCCAAGTTTTCAATTCGATTCGCTGTTGTTTTTTATACCCTGAACCCATTTTCAATGGGAAATCAGGGTATAATGGTTTTGTTGAAATGTATGTAACAGGGAGAAGGAGGCGTGGCAGACCCCACAAAGTATATATATTCTTGATCAGGGTGACGAGCTGAGTTGATTTGGCCCTGTCCGTCTGTCTGTCCGTCTGTCCGTCTGTCCGTCTGTCCGTATGTATGAACGCGTCGATTTCAGAAGATATAAGAGCTAGAGACTTCAAATTTTTTTTAAAATGTCCGTAATTACAGCGCGCATATCAAGTTTATCATTAAAAATCGATAACTCATCCCGATCTTTTTTTATCGATAAAAAACCTTATCGAAACCCAGTTATAAAATTATATCTTCTACACCTTTATTGCTAGAGTCTCCAAATTTTTAATGTATGCTTATATGCAATTTATACAATTTCGGTTTTTGTTAAAATTTACCCCCCACCTCTAAATTCACCCCCTCACCCTCACTTTTGTAAAAAGCGTATTTCAAATACTAGAGACTTGTGCTTTGGCAAGTACATGCATATTCATGTTATAATCATAATCTAAAAGTTTCATGAAGATCGTACGTCCATAAAAAAAGTTATTAAACAATTAAGTTCTCATAGTAAGCGCACACTGCAGCCCATGCGTGTTTATGCGTGGTTGCTTGTATGTGTGTGTGTATGTGTGTGTGTGTATGCGTTTGTGTCTGTATGCGTGTGTGTGTGTGTATGTGTGTCTATATGCGTGTGTGTGTATGTTTACCTGTGTGTGCGTACGTGCGTGTGTGTGTGTGTGTGTGCGTGTTTCTTGTGTAAGCTGAAAGTCGCGAAAAAGTATTGAAATATCTATTGCTCCAAGGGTTCAGGGGATCTCGTAGTCGAGCAGTCTCGACTAGAGCTTTCTTACTTGTTTTTTTTTTCTGTTGCGATCAATAAACTTGTTTGTGCTACCCCCGCCCGACAAATGCTTTACAGTTCAGTTATCATAAAGTTATGTAACGCACAATAAATTACACACTCTGAAAGCACATTCACCCACTCAGAGTTCAGCCAGAGCGAGCATGGGCCAGAGTTCTCCTCTGTAGCAGCAGCCAAAAGCAATTTCAGTTTTTCATGCTTCGCTCTCGTGTTGCTGTTGTTGCTCTGATTAGATGATTTATAAGCTATCTTCAGCTCGACAACGTTGTTGTTGTTTGCTATTTAGAAGTGCGGCCGAGATATGCGCAATTTATAGTCGCAAAGACTTTGCCCTTAACAAAGATTATGGTTTATATGCGCAAATTATGCAAGGGAAAACCTTTCCCAAAACAAAAAAAAAAAAAAAAAAAAAAACCAAATTCCCATTTTCGAAGCTATGCCATTTGCCATTTGTTGGGCAATTAGAAAAGTTATAAAAAAGAAGCAGAAGCGGGAAAATTGTAAATTGTAAATAGCTTGAAAAAACATATTTGGCAAATTCGCATAAAGGGAAACATTTGACAAACGACGCGCCCCACAGCCGTGGCGCCACAAAATTGTAAATCATGCCCCACGATTATGCGCGACACGCAAAATTACGAGTATTTAAATCACGAGGGGTGCGTGAGGGTGAGGGTGTGTGTGCATGTGTGTGAGTGTGTGGCAGCTGCTTGGTGTTTGCCACTTGCCACATGCATCACTCGGCTGCATGGCGCTTAAAAATGCCATTTGCTGCCACGCCTTCATTGCCCAACTTTTTGGCAAGCTCCTCAACTACCTCAGCTATTTCAGCGATCCCCCCCGAAGCTCTCGCGCTGCTTCAACAAAATTTTACACGCGCGACTAAATCCTTTTAGCGCTTTATTTGGCTTCTGATGCGCCGTTAGTTGTCCTTCACTTGATGTTTATTCTGTTGATATGGCAGGGTATTGTAATGCTGACAGACAATATGATATGCTTAATATTGTCAGAGATTCTAGAGATAGATTTGATATATAGAGTGTGTAGATATGGAGGTAGGTTCTTTTAGAGTTCAGCTTTGCATATAGATTATGTAAATCTATAAAAGATCTAGATAGT